GTTTCTTCATTTCTTTTTAGTCTTAGTTCTCTCTCCTCCTCCATCTGGAGCACTTCTGCATTGCTTTCCTCAATACTGCTAATTATTTCCTCCATATTATCAGCTCTGGTGCTTAAGGCTTCCAGATTTTTCTTTATCTCCTCTGTTGTGTTTTTCATCTCTAAGATTTCTGATGGTTTTTTTTTTTATGGTTTCAGTCTCTTTTGTGAAGAAACTCCTGATTTCACTGAATTGTCTGTCTGTGTTTTCTTGTATTTCATTAAGCTTTTTTATGATGGCTCTTTTGAATTCTCTGTCATTAAGGTTATACATTTCTGTGCTTTCTCGGGTTGACTTCTGGGTGCTTCTCATTTTCCTTTTGGTCTGGAGATTTAATATATTTTTGCGTGGTGCCTGTTGGTGTTGGCTTACCTTTCCTCATAGTGAAAATATATGGTCACAGTTTCCTCTTGCTGCCGCTGGCTGGGGGTCAAGGGCTGTGTATTCTGGCCTGCCTCAATCCGTGGGCACTCTCGTCGGCCCCTGGGTGATCTGCACTGTGGCTGAGTGGACGCTGCTGGAGGGGAAGTGTGGAAACAGCTGGAGCTGGAGCGCAGCTAGGCCAAAGCAGCTGGGGCTCAGGTGCGGGTAGGTTGAAGCAGCTGCAGCTGAAGTGCCGCTGGGCCAAAGAAGCTGGAACTGGAGAGCACTGGGCAAAAGACGCTGGAACTGGAACGCGCTGAGCCGAAGAAGGAGGAGCTGGAGCGCCGCTGGGCGGAAGAAGCTGGAACTGGAGTGCCCTGGGCCGAGGAAGCCGGAACTGGAGTGTGCTGGGCAGAAGAAGCTGGAACTGGAGTGCGATGGGCTGAAGTTGCTGGCGCCAAGTCAGCTGTGCCTGCGCACAGACCAAGCCGAAGCAGCTGGAGCCAGGGGAGGGGGGGCGGTCAAGCTGAAGGAGCTGGGGGTGGGGCACGTTCCAGCCAAAAGAGCTGGGGCCGTGGCACAGTGGAGCCGGGGAAGCTGGGGCCGTGGCTTGGTCCAGCTAGAGCAGCTGGGTCTGTGGCGTGGTGGGGACTAAGCTGCCACTGCCTCTGGTGCAGGGGTGCAGGCTCGACCCACTGCTGGTCGGGCTGGGCCCCTGGGCCGCTGCCTCTGGGGACGGGGCCGAGCTGAAGTGCCGCTGTGCTGAAGCGCCACTTGGGCGGTCCGGGTAGGGGAGCTGCGCTTACTTTCGCCTTCCCGATCTCAGAGGTTTCTCACCTTGCTGTCGTTCTCTGCTCTCCTGAGGGGCTAGCTTGTTGAAACTACCCTCGCAACAGTTTCGCAACAGTTTCGCTCCCTCCGTAGGCAGATGCCCTCGGGCTGTGAGGGGTCTTGGAGAGCGCTGTTTTTCACGAGGCGAGCCGCCCCTCCCCCCTCCTCTGAGAGCCGCATGGTCTCAGTCTCTGGGTCGCAGTCCTTGGGGAAGGAAGGGAGCTCCTCTTACTACCTCCTTCCACTTACTCTGGAGATTCCAGCACCTCAGTCCTCGGGTGTACGCCTGCCTGGGTGCCTCAGACGTCTCCTGTGTTGTGTGAATAGCTTCTGTTGGAATATGAATATCCTTTTCGTCTTAGAGGGGGAGAGTTCAGTGGGGGAAGCTCACTGTGCCATGATGCTGATGTCACTCTCTCAATATTTAATTTCTTAGGTATGATAATGGTGTTGTGATTATATAGAAGAATGTCCTTTTACTTAGGGATGCATGCTAAAGTATTTAAGGGTAAAACGTCATGACATTTGCAACTTACTTTCAGATGGTTCAGAAAAACGTTCGTGTATAGAGAGAAAAAGAGAAAGCAGATGTGCCAAAGATCAGCAGTTGCTGAATCTAGATGAAGGATATACAGATGCTCACTGTACCATTCTTCCAACTTTTCTATAGGTTTAAATTTTTCTAAATAAAAGTTTGGGAATAATATGCATCCATTGTTAAATAAAAAACAAAGCAACAACACAGGAACATGCAAAGAGAAAAGTAAAAATCACCCCACTCCCTCTACCTAGAGATAACCACAGTGGACAGATTTGGTGAACCTCCTTCCAGGTAGTGGTTCTCAGTTTATCTATTGATCTATCTGTCCATTTATCTGTCAATTTAATGTGTGTTTTTGTTGCTCTCTCTTTTTTTTTTTTTGCTGAGGAAGATTAGCACTGAGCTAACATCTGTGCCCATCTTCCTCTACTTTGTATGTGAGTTGCCGCCACAGCATGGCTGACGAGTGGCACAGGTCCACGCCCAGGATCTGAACCTGGGCCGCTGAAGCAGAGCACCCCGAAGGCCACGGGGCTGGCCTCTTGCCCTCCTTTTTTTCCTTGAATTTTTTGGTGGAAGAAACCAGACCATTTGTCCTTTGAAATACCCCACGTTCCAGATTTGGCTAATTGTGTCTTCTTAGTGGGGTTGAACTTGTTCCTCTCTCCCCCACATTTCCTCTACACAAGCAGTTAGGTCTAGACCCTTGATTAGATTCAGGTTAGGGTTTTGTTTTTGTTTTGACAAGAACCTGCCCTAGGTGATACTCTGTCCTTCCTACTGCTGGACAGCTGATTGGCTTACTTTTTAATTATGTCAAACATGGTCTCAGAGTCAAAATGATAAAGGTCCTCGAACGGAAGTCTGGCTTCCCTCCTTGTCCCCTCACCCTGTTCTCTTCCTGCCCCTACAGGTAACTATTTCTGTGAGCTTTTGGGTTTTTCCCTCCATTGTTTCTTTTTGAAATATGAGCAAATATATTTGTATTTCCCCCATTTCTTACACAAAAGCATACTATATGCATTCAAAATAAATCCTAGAGATTCTCCATATCAGTACGTGGGAGTCTTCATTCCTTTTTTTTTTGTAGCTGTTTAATACTCTATTATATGGGGTAGGTATTGCCATATTTTATTCAACCCGTCTCCTGCTAGACATGGGGTTTTTATCAGACCCGCGATTACAAATAGTGCTGAAATGAATAGCCTTGTACATTTATTATTTTGTACTTTTGCCATTGTATCTTTGAGATGGATTTCTAGAAGTGAGATTGCTCTAGGTCAAAAGGCAAGTGTGTATGTAATTTTGCTGGATATTACCAAATTCCCTGCCATAGGGGTTTGTGCTGTTTTGCTTTCCCACTAGCACATATGAGGGACACGGCATCTTTTTTTGATGGTGGAGCAGTGTAATATAATATGGTCTTGGAAAAGTAAAGCAGACCTCGATTTGAGGGCTGCCTCTGCTTCTTAGCTGTGTGTCCCTGGATAAATTACTTAATCTCTTTGAACTTTGGTTTCCTCTCTGTCAAATGGGAGTAATAGTTGTTTTGAAGATCAATCAAAATAATGCAGGTAAAATGCTCCACACAATGTCTGGTGTATAGTAACTGCTCAGTAAATGTTGACTGGGGATATTCTTATTATGACTGTTACACTTGAAGATGAATGCCAAGTGTAAATTTATAGATAAAGACTGCAAGATTCCCATTTTCTAGTCTTTCTGCCAGAATGACTGGAAACCAGACAGCAGAGTCTCTGCTCTTTAGGTGGCGACCAGCTGAAAAGAAAAAAATATATCTCTGTTGCTTTTATGGTTTTCCTCTGTCTGGTTAAGTGCCTACGTTCTGACTTAGCTGTCAGAAGAGGTGGGACATTACTTGATCCTTACTGCTCTCTGAGGCTAATAAGCAAAATCCTCAGTAAATACTTTGCAACTCACCTCCCCAAGGGAATACCTTGGGGTGGTCTTCCAGAAGCACGACTTGAAGCCATGTTGTTGTTAGGCATTGCTGATAGGTATGGGATGAATGCATTCACCATAGAGTGGTTTTTCAGATAAAATGGAAAAGTAGTAAAACATGCTAGAAGTTTTCAGAATTCTTACATGACACAACTGATAATGACTTGTTTAAGTTCTTGTGCTAACCTGCAGGTTATGTTCTTTTAGTGAAGTGGGTTGTGACTGCCTCACCAATGGGTTCTGTAGAACTTAACCCCAAATCAGAATTTTTAACCACAGATGGACTTCAGTGCGTTCCTGAAGTTGTATGTAAATGGGTGTATGTGCGCACATGCCTGCACATTTGTGGGGGTGAGCCCTCATAGTTTGCATTAGATTGTCAAATGGATCTGTGACCCAAAAAAGGTTCAGAAACTCGGTCCTAAGCCATATTTTTTTCTGTTTTGAAGGATGTTGCAGCTCGGGGCTTAGATCTCCCTCAAGTCAAGTGGATTGTTCAGGTAATTTTTTAATTGTTAAGGTGTGAGCTTGAGGCAGGAATATATGATCATGTGTAGATGCATTGGCTTTAAGTAGAATAATTATTATTACCCTCTTGGATGTTGCCCTGGTAACCAGGCACCAACTAGCCTTATCTGCACAACTCTCCTGATAACTTTCCTTAACCCAGGCTGCCTAACGCTGTAGCAAAACAGCCCGATTGTGCAGTCAAGGGAAGGAGGGGGTGGGCTCCCCTGCTCCCAGGCTAATGCATGTCACACACAAAGTTTCAGCATCTGAAAATAACGAGAATTACCTGGGCCCTTGGGAGGCCTCATTGTGTCCAGAAGGAGATGGCTCAGCTGTCCCGAGAGCCGTGTCCGTGTACATTGACCTGCAGGGGGCAATTAAGTCCCTGACAGCATCTTACACATACCTCGATCCTTAGACGCCTTGCCAGAGGGTACAGGTGTTAGCACTAGAGTCTAGTGGTTTTAGTTTTGTTTTTTCTTTTCATTAGTCTGCAGAATGATATTTTTAAGCCCTTCTGTGTGGGGGCCAGGGGACACGTGCCCTGTTTACGTGAGTCATGGTTTATTCACATTTTAGTGGAATTGCTTGCCTGTCACTGGCTAGTAAATCTGATCTGCTCACTGAAGATGATCACTTTGCGACTAGAGGCATTGTGTCTTCTTTCCTGCTGGCCACAGAGCAAATTAAAGATAAGAAGGCAAGGATAATTTTAATGTGTAGGGGGCCAGACACACAAAATTGATCATAGAGCCTTCTTATATTGTAAATATTGATTAGTTGAATATGCCTGGCCTCCGTATATATGTATTCCATATATATATAATATATATGGAATATAATATATTCATCTTGGCCCTCTGATCTTTGATTCATGTCGCAGCAAAGAAAAAAAAGAATGAAAATATGGTCAGTTAGTTTTAATGATGATGAAGTTATTGCCATACAGAACATCCAATGCTGTGATAATCCATTCTGCTGAGTTTTCGAGTCTGCCCATTTCCCCAAGTCAGGAATGCTGTCCGTGGGAGCAGAAGCACGTCCCTGTGCAATGGGAAAGCCTCTCAACTGCCCTGCAACTCCACTCCATTGGGACGGAGTGGAAGGTAGTGGTGACCAGCTCCTGGTGGCCCAGCATCAGAGCTAACTCTGTGGTCAGAGTAATCGGCCCCTTCCTCCTTAGCCTCTCCAGTATCTTCTGTGGCCTCATCCCCACTGCTTTGTCTACCAAGGAAGTAGGCCAAGGTCGTGTGGTCATCCTGCAGAAGTTTACCCCCCCACCTACATTTTCACCTTGTACAGTCACCACAGTGAAAAGATGCAAATAGGAAAATGAAGAGACCTGTGGAGAAGTAAAATTAAAAAGGAGATATTGGGATGAGAAGACATCTCGTTTATCTGAAACTTGGCCACTGTTCACGTTTGCGTGTCAGAGCCTTGTTATTTCCAATGAAGCCAGGAGTTTCAGGGTTGAGTGACTTCTCCTTGTGATTGTGTTAGGGTAACCATAGCACCAGGATTTAATTCCAGGGATACCTGGAGGCAGGTGAGGGGTATTGCACTTCCAATTAATGGCAGTCCCTTGATCTGTGAATCCCTTCATTTTTGTTACCCTTTTTAGTACAACGCTCCGTCTTCACCTGCTGAATACATCCACCGGATTGGGAGAACCGCCCGGATTGGCTGCCATGGGAGCAGCCTGCTCATTTTGGCTCCTTCGGAGGTAGAATATGTCAACTCGTTGGCTTCTCACAAAATCAAGTGAGTCAGAAACCTGAACGAGGTTTCGGCTGATCTCACCTAATTAACTTTCTGTCGCTTTTTATAGTGGATGGGCCTTGTAAGCTGACGAAGAGCCATTAACCCTTGTGATCCCTAAATGAATCCCAGAATAGCCGGTGGCAAAAACTAAAACCCTTAATACCATCAGCACATGACAATTTTCTGTGCGTTGCCAGACTAAGTCATAGAACGATCTGTTGCGCTTCATTTTTCTTTAAGACCGAGGTCTGTGTTTCATCTCTTACTGTAAAATAAGTGTGCACAACCCTCACAGCCAGCTGCTTGAAGATCTTTTTTATTCACAATTTTTATTTCTTGCAGTTAACCTGTTGTACCTTTAAAGTTGATTTGTCTTTGAAAAAAATACTACTTTGTTCTCATCACGCAACTCCCCCTCTCCCAGGAAGATAAACCCAGGGAAGAAATCATTTAGAGGCAGTTGAAATATGCACCATACACTTGCAGCCAAGACTGTCCAGTCGCCATCTTATTTGTGCCCAGTCGAATGGCAGCCCCTCATGTTCTCCCGTGTAGAGGCCCCAGTTCCAGCCCTGGATCACAGACTCGGCAGGACTTAACAGCATGGAAGCATAGTCAGGGCCTTCCGTCAGACCCTGATCTCACTCAGGAAAGACAAAGAAAGCAAATAGAGAAAGCAGTGGCTCCACCTGGCCAGGAGTAATTATAATGAAAGAGGAAAGAACTCACCTGGGCCACAGAAATGAATTTGTCATGTTTTCCATAAAACTCTGGCACCTGAAACAACAAGTTCGAGTAATGGGTTTCTAAAGGCATGCAGGTTTCACTCTGATCTAATTTCAAGAATTTCTTCTGCTCAGACATAGCACAATGGTGCATGAAATGTTTTTAGAGGCACGGGAACAGTCGTATATATGCCCAAGATGGTGGGACATGATACACGGCATGCATGGAAGCAACGATGGCTGCTGACTGACGCTGTGACACTGGCGCACAACTCAGCTCTGTGGCTGAATGTGAGGGTCTCGTTTCTTGGTGCTTTCTTTGCCCAGCCCTATATTTTATGTAAAGCAGCCAATAAAACTATGAGAATTTCTTTCCCTAAAGTACAGAGTTAGGAAAATCGTTGCATTCTAATCTGAACTGAAATGTCCAGGCAGATGGCATGGGGACCTGGTCTGGAGGACCACAGGACTAAGTGCAGGCCACCCACTTGGAGAGCTGTGTGTGGCTGTCCTGACCAGTTCCTGCCATGTTTCCTACCCTACAGAGCTCTCTGTCTCACCCAGTCAGACTTTGCAACACTCTGAAGGTTGCTAGTAGGAACATTTATGGACTGTGGCTTACTCTGAAAATGTGCCTTACATCCTTCAGTGTTGAGGGAGGCCAGGGACCCACTCCTGATGAATCTGGTAATAATTTCAAATGGGCCAAAATAAAGATGGTTTGGGTTTTCCTTTTATTTAATGTGTCTCATCTTAATGTAAGTTGTCAGTTGAAAGAGTAATTTTTCTTTGGGAAGATATACGTATTTTATCTTACTTGTGAGAGAAATCTCATGTCAATCCAGCAATCAATCACTTTTCACCAACAGCCTGATCTCCAGCTGGAATCTAAGTTCCCTGCGGCTGGAGGCTGGCTGGTCCTTCTCTTTGCAGCCCTTTCAGTGTCTAGGGCGGCACCCGACCTGGCAGTTGTGCTCCAGAAATACTGGGGGGTTGAGATGAAAACCCGTCGACGTAACCCATTCTCCTGTCTTCCCTCACCCCATTCTCACATGCTGGGAGCCCATCACAGGACGATAGCTTTATACCTGTGTCACAGGAATTTGTATACCTATGGAAAGCGTTTTCAGAATTGTGTGTTGTCATCCACAAGAGGAAATATAGTCACTGTACCTTAGCAGCCTGTCTCTTGCTCCACAGTGTCTTTTCCACCTTCCATTCTAGACCTGCAAATTCACATTTCTCCTCTCCTTCCTGTCAGCTGCTCTCTGGATGTTCTCCCATGCTCGTTCACTTTGACATGCTCTCCTCCTCAGAAAATGAGTACCAACGGTTATGAAGGCAATGATAATCGTCCATTGCTCAAGTTATCAGCATAGGTGCCTCTGCCTCTCTCTGCTCTGTAATTTTTCTGTAATAAACTCATTTGAATTGATTGCTAGGAAAGGTTCAAATGTAAACCTAAAATTGAAAAGGGAATATAATAATACCAACATGAATTATTACTGAGCCAAATGCATTTTAAAGATATAAAAATATACTCATCCTCTGTGATGATCTCATCTGGAAAAATAGTGTGCCAGCCGGCTTCGTGGGAAAATCAACGTAATGTTCACCTTTAGGAGACAGCGCAGTGCTGCCAGGGGCTTGGACTCAGAGAGGAAGTTCAGGAGATTAAAGACAGGAAGATACACAGAGGAAGAGAGCAGGGTCTTCTGTGGAGAGAATATACAGGGTGGTGTAAGAACATTCATTTAAGGGGGAGAGTCCTGTAGGAGTCCAGCCTCGCTGGTCTCTGCCCTGAAAATTCCCCTGTTGAAGTGCCCGTGCCTGCACCACTGAGTGTCGTGGGCTAGATGTGGTCGACCTAAATCAATATCAGAATCTATGTCGTTATGTTACAGCCGTGCGTTATACTTCCTGAGTTCTGTTTGAGGAAGGGCTGTATGTTGGATGTCTACACATGGACTGTTTCTTTGACCTAATACAAAAAAACTTAATAAGAACTAGTTGCAAAGCATGCAGTGGAAAGAAGCAGACTTGAACATTTTTGGAATCCACAAGGTACACTCCTAAATACTGAAAAAGGAGGAGGAGGAGGAAGTGTGTGTATGTCTTGTACCTAAGAACCTGAGAGGCGGGCAGCAGGCTAAAGGGATGGCTGATGAATTACAGGGAGGATTCAGGAAGGCAGGCTGAGGCTCTGGGCAGCAAGGGCCATCACAGCAAATTGCTGCCTGCCTTCGTGCACTGAGCACTGGGGAGCTCACCCTGACAATTTAATTTAGCACCCAGGGCAGCAGACAGGTGCCCGGGCTGATGCTGCCTTTGTCTAAATGCTCAGAACTTTGTTTCTACCTCCTTTTTTGACTTTGTGTTTGCCAACTTCTTAACTTTTTTTTGTTTCTCCTTTAAATGTGTTTCTCATGAAAGTCATCATTGGTTTATTAAAATGTAAATGCTTCATCAAAACATGTATTTCTTAGATCAGGCATAAGACAGTTCCCTGAATTTATTTATTTATCTCTTTTTTCCTAGTAAGGTGGGGTAATTCAGGTCTGTTGATAGAACCATAAATAAGCAGAGTAGATTTGCTTTGTTCATCAGAAGCATTTCTTAGAATAGGAGGAAGTCCCTTTTAAACTGTAAATCACTCTAGTTCATTCTCAACTCCTGTTCACTTAGGGTGAATGGTCCCCCACCATTGTCATGTGGACACACACACAGCGTACGAGCCGAGCCCTGGCTGGAATGTCCACGCTCCCATGCACTTGAGAAACTGCCTTTCTGTGGCATATTTAGTTCTGTGTATCCCTGACTGTGAATGACCTTATTCTTTTTTTCTTTCTCCCTGCTTCAAGATTTGACCCCAAATTCTTATGTTTCTTTTACTTTTGTGTTTCTCTGGTTTTTTTTCCTCAAGAAAAAAAGTGATGAATAGAAGCAAGTCAGATACACAAAGAAAAAGATAGGACTGGGCTATGTTTTCACCTTCCTTCGGGTTTCCAGGCATAAATAAGAGGCAAATTCAGTAGCCATAACATTTCTCTCTCATATGAAAATAGATTTTCCATGAAATCATGAGCGTTTTCCCCCTGATTCCTGCCCCTTCAGTACGTACTCTGCCTTCTCCAGTTGACTCTTGCCGCTGTGAAAAGATTTCACATATCCATAAGGCTGTGAGCTGGCAGCAGAGAAAGAGCGTTGAGAGGTGGGGGCTGGGGGTGTTCAGGGAAGTGGTGACACATTTCAGGTAAATCGCTGTCAGAGACGTGACATTTTCATTCATAGCTTTGTCAGAGTAACCTTTAGGGGAAAGGGGGAGGATTGTCTTCTCCCACATAAGAGGTTGCCATTCGTGTTTTAATTTGCTGTTATATTTAAAAAAAAACACACAAAACATACAAGAAAATCATTTATCTCTTTATGATCTGTTTTTCTCCTCCAGAACTCCTCCTTCCCTTTCCCCTTCTCCCTGGGAAGTATATTTTTCAGCAGCTCGTATTCCTTCTTAGTCTCTAGTACATGATTCTGCATGCACTTCCCATATTCAGATGCTGTGGCCTTACGGAATAGTGGGTGAAGCGTAGGCTTTCCAGACTCCACTGCTAGGCAGGGTGGACTGTTTTGTTCTAGCTCCTGATGGCTTCTGTTCATGAGTGAAGCCCGAATTCTGGTTCCAGCCATTTGCACATAGCTCTAGATTCATCAGAGATCACTTGGTTCTCACCCCTTAATAATTAAGAGACAAGGTTGGTGAAGATCCTTCAGGACAGATGAGAACAGAGTCTGGTGCTGTGGACGGGAGGTGCGGGTCACTCGTTAATCTTCACTGAGGTGTTGACCTCAACGGTTAAGGATCTTTAGCCACCCTTTTTTTTTTTTTTAAAGTATAAAACAAAGGAACTATCTGAAATGTTTTCTATTTCATCATCTGCTCAATCAAGGTGCTATATCACTAAGCAGGCCTACTTATTTAGTATTCGAGATATTAAGAAATAATGACATGATCCCTATAAAGGAAATTCTAAGTGTAGGCTATTTAAAAATACATCAGGGAGGAAGGAAATTGTTGGGAATGTTACCCCATGTGTCCCTGTAATATCATAGAAGTTTCCTTCCAAATTCCTAAAGGTTTAGGGAAATATTCCCTTCCCTGTGAAAGTATAGCTTCTACTTTATGTCTAATTAGCTTGAGAATAGGCCAGTTTTATGCATCAAGATTCTGGATGTTTTTGAAAGAATAAAGAGTTTACCTTGATATGCCCTTCCTTTTACAGTGTTTCTGAGATTAAGATGGAAGATATTTTGTCTGTTCTGACAAGGGATGATTGTTTTAAAGGGAGACGGGGAAACCAGGTGAGTTTTATTATTTATTGTGCTTGCTGCTAACAGACGTGACTCATTTCTTGATTTGGGGTAGCAGAGATTTTGTGTATGGATAGTTATTTTCTCTGTCGAACAAAATGTATATTTTAAGGATCATGAACATTAGATGAGGCTGAATCTTGATTATGTTTTTTCTCTCTTTGCTTCTGGATGTATTTGCTGGTCTCATCCGGTTAATGGGCTACAGTCCCTTCTGGAAGTCTGCCAGGCAGCAGCAGGCTTCCCAGAAAGGAGGTCTCACTCTAGGCCAGAATGAGTTTGGAGGCAGTGTTACACACTCAACCCTGGTGGTCCCTCTCCAGATTATCAGCAAGGACAACTGACTAGACCCATCCACCCAAGACAGCATGGAAAAAATAAATATCTCTGTGTCTCCTTTCAGACACACTTAGTTCATCCATTTTTTAATGTGTGTGCTATACACAGACGAAGAGTAAAGTTGAGATCATTAAGAAGAAAAATTTTTATTATCCATGCAGTTCCATATGGAGATCCTGAGCAGATGCAGACAGCCCTGAACATCTCTTCCTGCTTCTTTTCTGAGGCTTTCCCCTGCTAAGCAGTCATTCCCCCACGCGCTTCGACACATTACTTAATATATCACATATACTTGTGTGTGTGTGTGTAATGTTGCTGTATGTAATTTTGTTTATGAAATATTAATTATTTGAATATTTTACATTTGTTTTCTTATGCCTGAGGATGGACCGGGAAATCAGAGCCAAATAGATCAAGCTTAGGAGTTTCTTTTATGTGATAGTGTGTGTCTTTATTTGGATCGATATTCTGCCTGAGGCAGGGACTCAATTTGAGTGACTTTCACTTAAGTTCTCTTGTGCCAGAGAGCACCTAAGGAAATTTATCTAAGAGAAGGAGAGGAAATAGTCACAACGTCTGTTACCTCAGCGTGCGTTCTGGACCCGGAACTACACTAAGCCCTTTACGTGCTCGGTCCCATTTAATCCTTCCAGCAACCCTGTAAGGTAGATGTTGTTGTCCCGCTTTATAGATGAGGAAACTGAGGCTTGGAGAGCTGAAGGCACGTTCACAAGGGCACACATAATTGTGAGTCCTTCTGGGGTGTGAAGGCAGGCAGTCTAACCTCAAAGCACATGTACGTCACCATATACCAGTATGCTGCCATTAGTATTCGCTAAACCAAGAAAATGAAACAAAATTGCTTTTTAAAAAAAAAATTTAGTATTATTTTTTTACTGAGGTAACATTGGTTTATAACCTTCTATGAATTTCAGGTGTACATCATTGTGTTTTGACTTCTGTATAGACTGCATCATGTTTACCACCAAAAGTCTAGTTGCCATCCGAAAGTTGCTTTTTAAATTAGGTAATGTTAGCCATTTTTAGAGGTGAAATTTGGTCAGTAATGGCACCAAACAAAGATCCCTGTGAACAGGAAAAGAGATTAAAGACTCAATCGATCAGCAAGTGATTTAAGCCTCATTTCATTATAAAACATCCCGGCCGCACTAGACTTTGGACCATCCCATATTGACAGTTTGTTGTCGAGGTGACTGACCAGTAGCCCGGCAGACACTCATTGGTCTTGGCACACTTCTGTTCTTCTGGAACTATTACAAATCCTAGTTAGGGTTTTTGTTTTTTTTTTTAACCTTCCCACAGATACTTCATTTTTGTCCCGGGACAGCTGTGTGGGGTAAGCAGGGGGACCTGGGGAGCTGGCTGAGGAGGCAGTGGAGCAGAGTGGTTAAGGGCAGGATTGGGAGTAGTGGGTAGTCAGATTCCTAATCTCAGTTCTCAGCTGTGTGGCTTTAGGCAAGTACTGGACCTACCTAGGCCCCATTTTCTTCATGTGTAAACTTGAGATAGTGATGGTACTCTTCTCATAAAGAGACTGGAGGATTGAGTAAAAAATAACCTGAAACACAGGTACTGAAGGGTATTTTACTATTATTATTATTGTCATCAGTTAGTAGCAGATGTGGTGTTAGAGCCCAGACTCAGTGACACGGAGCCCAGTGTCCTTTTTTGCTGTATCACAATAAGTGGAACATTAGCATCTGTCTGCTCTCCAGAAATAAGAGAAAGCAGTAGAATTACAAAATGAGATAGTGAAGGTTTGATCAAGTCTAGCCTTTACTTACACTGTTTCCAGGACGGGCTTCAGTGTCACTGTTTATTCCCTGACACAGATCAGTTCTCTCCAGGGAGCTGATTGTCATGTGCATCTGCACATCTCCAGGGAAGCTGTGGAAGGGTGCAGAGCCCTCCTGAAGGACATTCCCCCAGAGGGGCAGAGCAGCTGCAGTTCCCTCTGCAGGTTGAGTCTTTTAGGAACAAGCCACAGCCATTTTTTCAACATCTGCCCTTCTGTGGCCTTGCAGCATCAGTTCTCCTTAAGCCTTTTCCTTGGCTTGAGACCAGCCTTGCAGACTTGCTGAGACCGGAGGAGCCATTGTAAGGTCGTGGGTCATTGTAAGAGCCGGGCCCAGAAGCAGACAGACTGGGGTTTGAGTCCTTGCGTCACAGCTGGTGGTTCTGCAACCTTGGGCAGATTATCTTCTCCCTGCCTTGGTTTTCCCATCTGTAAAATGAGGAGAACAAGAGTACCCATCTTGTAGGGTTGCTGTGAGGTTGAACTAGAACAAGGCATAAAGCGCTCTGCACATTTCTGGGATGTAAGTGTGTCTCAGTCTTGAGCTCCTTCCTTGATGGATAGGAATGAATAGAATGTTTTGATATTTTTAAGGTTTGGTAATCTTTGTTTTTAAAAAGAAAAAATGCTAAGCAGGATTGGGCTTTCACTAACGCTAAAATAACTGGTTGACTTAGAAAACTAAATTAATCAGACTAGATTCTAGGTGTCTTGTCGATAAAAGCCTGATTTGTTTGGGCAAATTTAACTTTAATTCAAAGGACAAAGAAAAACTAAACTAAATTGACTACATTACTACCTATCACATAGATAGGCAGCCTGAGAGAGAGTTTTATGTGTGTGATCCATGTGAATAGTAAAAAGAATAAAGTCGATACTGGATACAACTTTTTACTCTGTTTTTTTAAGAAACACAGCGTGTCTTAATTGCTGTTCTCGCTTTGGGCAGTTCCCTAGCAGACAAACCAGGCTGGGCACATAAAGGTGGACTCAGGAGACGAACCTTTTGCACATAGAGCCAGACACCACGTCATAATGCCCCTCCTCACCCAGCATAGTTGAAGTCCATTGTAAATGTCCCTTTGACACATACATTTTTGGGCTTCTGTGAACAGAAAGAAAGCGAGTGAAGCACCTGTAAAATGTATATTTCATATTTAGGTCTATAAAATATATATAGCTATGTCTGGTGTGTGAATGTTCACCCACCTACAAAGAGAATAAATTTGATCTTTCAACTTTACTTGGAAGCACTCAGAAGGTTCTAGGGACTGTGGGGGTAAAAGTCAGCTTGGCAATAAAATGAGTAAAACAAAATCCTTGCATTTAGCTTAAAAATACCTTAAAAGTTAGTAATATCAAGACACATGCTTTAAAAAAAAAAAAAAATCCACCCTCCCCTACCACTGCTACCACCAAAAACTTTTTACAACAAAACGATCCAGCCTAGTTATCTAATACTCATCTGTTGCTTCTTGATGAGTGTGAAATTTTCATCTTCAAAGTATACACACCCCCAAACATGCTTTTCCTGCAAGTTTTTTCGTCCTATGAAATACGCCTGTAAACTTATCCTAACAAAAATCTACTACTGGTGTCGTGAGATAATAAAATAAGATGGATGGGAAGCCCTTTGCTTAGTATTTTTTGATCATCTGTTCTCTCTGAGATCAGTGGGGTCTCACGGACAAAGGGGTATTGAGTGCATATAGACTGTTGGAAAGATATTTTTCTAAACTCCCCGTGGTCCACTAGTTGCAGGTTAGCTTCATTACCCAGTACTGAAGCTGTGCATCTTTGAGGGTGGGAGAGCCAGTCCTGGGGGATGTTCATGTGCCCTCTGGGCTTTGACCCACTCTCATTATGGGAGCATTTCACCTGTCTGGGGCTGAGATGGTGCTGCATAACTCTGCCCTCTCTGTCTTCAGTTTAAATTTAGACTGTCCTCTCCAGAAGACAACTGGGAAATACCTCGCTCATTCTCAAGAGGGGCAATTTTAAAATAAAGTATTTCTGAAAGTGGGGGTGGAGGGCTAAGACTTGCTTTTTCCTAAGTATATTAGGTTTTCTGCCATTCATTTTCTTATATTTTACTAAAACTGACCTCATCATTTCAAATGTGTGAACCTGGTTTTATCGCCTTTTTTCTACATATTTCACTTGTATACACACTCACATTATATATATGTGTATATAATTTTTTTTTTTTTTTTTTTTGGTTGGGAAGAAAAGATGCCTCATTTTGAAACCTAAAGGGGGGAATAAGAAAAGCCCTTTGTAATATATTGCCATATTATCACTAAATCCCCTGACAGTTGTGACACAGAAGCAAGTCACCTGTCACTTAAGCTTGAGGTCTCTTTAATTTTCTCCCAGAATTCACACCAGGCTGTCTTTAATTTGAGGCCTTTATTGGAATTCTGAAACCTCTCTGCCTCCCTGGCTCTCAGATCTATTCTGAGAGCTGTTACAGAATGTATACAATAACCAACAGAGGGATTCGAGAGGGCTGGAGCTCTGTTTATTTAACACTCTAGAGGGATTTTTGTGCTTATTCGGTCCTGGCTGCCCGGCTTTCAATATCGCTTTGACAACCATTCTGCCCTTCTCATTAATTTTAAACAGTTAAAACACAGGAAAAAGAGGAAAAAGTTTTCATTATTAAAGTGCTTTACTTTTTAATAACAGAGGATTCTGTCCGCCGGGGGAAAGGGCATCCTCGCTAATTTCACATTCATATTAGAAAAAACGCAAGGAAGGTGACAGTTGTGCTGCTGAGGTGGCTTAACGAAAGGAGGGCAGCAAAAAAAAGTTTGCATTTTACATCAGTTAAGAGGGTAGAAAAGAAATCCTTGTTAATGACAATAGCAAATGCCCACTACCGTAACACAGCTCCTGAATGACTTTTCTCTTGACATTTGAGTGGATAAAACCCTTAGGGGGACCATGTACTGTGAAATCGGCTAGACTGTCATCAACCAAACAGGTAGCAGGAATGATTTGACTAAACTAAAAACATTTTCAGGTGGTTAAGTCTCTATTAATACAGAGATGAATGTCGATCCAGAGAATGAGGCTTTTTCTTCTCTACTCTTTGTTCTTCCTCTGGCAGCTTTAAAAGTATAAGAGACTCAGGAGTCCAGGTTAGACACGGTCAGCCATACACAGGCGCATGCACCCTGTCCTCTACGGGGTTGAAAGAAACCTGAACTGGGTCTCACACTGGCTTTTTCCTGGTCACCCACGTGGGGAGGTAGGGGTGGGGTAGAGACTTAATAGCATTATTCAAAGAATCTGTCTTTGGGGAGGCACATTAGCCAAATTGGGTTGGAGAATCTGTGTTCTTTTGGATCTCAGTTTTGCATTCATTAGAAAGCATTCATGTCTGTTTTCAGATATAAGAAACAAAAACTACTGGGTTTTAGGGGGATATAAAGAAAGGGAATCTTTTCTCTGGGATTGTTAAAGGATAGAAAGAAAATAATTTTTTTATTTTATTAATATTTTCCATCTGTAGGATCTTTCAGTGCATACAGATATTACTTCTTACAGAGGGACGCTTTGCTGCAAAGATCCATGCAGTCTGCTTTGAATGTGGTTTGCTGGAACAGCCCACTCCTTAATAGCTTCCTGGAAACTCAGCACAGTGGCTCTGGGCTGAACGAATGAATTAGAAACGCGAAAGTCTGAACCTCCCGAGGAATGAGGAAGCATACTCTGAAATTCAAGGATAGGCTGCATTTTAGGCAGGTCACTGTGGGATGCTCTTAGAGGAATTGCCAGTGTTCCATCGATGAGTATAGGGGAAGGGAGAAGATTTAAGGCCTAAGTGGGTGACACAAGATTCATTTGAAAACTGCTTATGTTCAGTGATGTTTTAAATGCCTGAGTTGTACTTGGAAAATTCCAGTGTCTCCAGTGGTCTCTCATTTTGAACGTGAGTGAAGAAAAGTAAGTAAATAAGTGAATAAATGAATGGACCTGATCTGCTCCTCACGAAGCCATCTTCATCTTTGCTTGACTTGCACATCTTTATAGCTCTCTTTTTTTTCCCGAGTAATATTGAAAGGATTACCCTTGTTGGCCCCTAGGTGGTTACTGTGTGATTTTACTGTTATTAAATCTATTATAAACTGCTTCATTATTCCTGACTCTGACTGTCTCTTCTTTAATCCTTCCGTCACCCTCCCAGAAATCCCGTGCCATTGGCCCCCAGGAAATTCGAGAGCGAGCCACAGTCTTGCAGACGGTATTTGAAGATTATGTGCACTCCAGTGAGAGGAGGGTCTCCTGGGCAAAGAAAGGTCGGTCAATTTCTTAGGTGATTGTGGCTGGATAGCCCAGCGGAGCATCCTTCCCACCTCCACTGCACACTCCCAGCCAGTTGAGAGGCCAACCAGGCATCTCTGCTCACCAGCAAAAGCTTTCAATCTCCCTAATTCTGCAGAGTTCGGAAGCAGGCACGGAAGGCTTTAAAGTGATATTAAATGTTAATTTCATCCTTCCCTGTGTTTTGCACAAATGAGGCTTTATCTTGGCTTACATCAGGAATAGAGCTTTGACCCAGCAACTTGGATCTTAGGGATCTGTTTTTCTCTTTCTTTGAAAACTGGATAGAATAGAGATGACATGTCAAGAGAAATAGTTTTAGAGATTGAAATTAGAGATGAAGGTAAGGGCTGGAAATATTAGACCTAAGCAGTTCCTGTTTGAAAGTGCAGAGAAAAATGAGAAAGAACAGTGCTGAGGAAGGGCCGTAGATCATGAACCCAATTCCTAGGAAATTTACAAAAGATTAGGTATTAATTTAATATTCAGGTCTTTTATAGGATAAATTGGCTCCTGGGATCACCAAGCATTAGGTGTGGACTCAACAGTTCACTTTGAGCACTGAACAGAGCATGGGGGAAGGGAGCTTTAGGACAGCCAAATGTCTTTCATAGAGGAAGGTTGTGTGTCTTGGCTTGTGACTGTCTCGTGTGCTAATGAGTCTTATTCCGTGTTGGGGGAGCCACCATTCTTTTTAATAGTTACCTGCTATTTTGAGAAGAATGCCAGGCTGGCTTACCAATATATGAACACTATAACATTCTTTCTTTTCTTCTTTTTACAAATTAAAGTTTTTCTTAAATCATTCATTTAACAAATATTTATTGAACTGGGCACTATTCTAGGTACTTGAGACATATCAGGAATCAAAACAGACAAAAATCCTCACCTTTATGACATTCTAGTGGGGGAGCAGACGATGAGTGTGACAAACATAATGAATAAAATTAGACATAAATCAGATAGTCTATTAAAAGGTGATAAAGACTATAAAAAAATAAATCAGGTAAGGGAGATGAAGAGGGTGACAGGGCAGAGTACATTTTAAATAGAGGGTCAGAGTGAGCCCTGTTGTGAAGGTGACATATGAGCAAAAACCCAAAGAGGGGTCAGCCCTGTGGCTCTGACAGAAGGGCATTCCAGGCAGTGAACAGAGGTGCAGAGGAACTCAAGGGGGGCAGTGTGGCTGGAAGGAGGGGGATTCAGCAGAGGCAGGGCTTGGAGGCTTTCGGAGGGCTTTGGGTTACCCTGAGTGAAATGGGAGCCATTGGAGGGCGTGGAGCAGAGATGTGGTGTGGTCTGACAGAGGTCTGGAAAGATCACTGGGCTACGGAGTGAGAATAGACGAGGGCAAGAGTGAAAGCTGGGAGACCGGTTACAGGGCAATTGTGGTCGTCAGGAAATAGATGACACAAATGGGCTAGTCAGCAAATAGTTTTGAGTACCTATTATATACCTTAGCATGTTATGAAAGCAGTTCTTGGTTGTTACCACAACACTGAACAAATCAGAACTACACAAGATGAAAGATGAAGTCCCAGTAATTGCCCCGTAACCACTGATATATGATTAGTGTGTTTCCTTCTCACCTCGTTTCCAGTAATATCCTGTCCTAGCATTTCCCTAAAGTGAATTCAGCAACTCCTAAGAGTTTTCCTAAGAACCTGCCTTTAGAGAAGTACTGGAACACGTCTCTCAGGAAGGAGAGAACATTTGTCACAGTGTAGGTTTACAGAGTTTGGTCATTTGTTGAAAGTCAGGCAGACTCAGCTGGCTGTGTGATCCATAGCTAGGGGTTGTACTGCAGAAATGCAGGGTTAATAACAAAGTTGCAATGAAAAGAAGGCCACACCATCATCTTCGATTTTGGTGTCAGAGGTGTTTTAGATATTCTAGTGAGACTTCAGCTATTTCAAAGTGTCTCTGTCATCGGAGTAAAAGTTACAGTAAGTAATCCATAGGGGATGTGGTTTTGTGTTTTCTGTCATCATCACCATTGAACTTGTTACTACCAAGAAACAAACAGAGTTACTTGTCTTCTTTTTAAAGAATATTGGAGTGGGGCCCCTCCCGAATGTTTCTGTACCAAGAAGGAAATAAATGTATCATTTTTTAATCTGCTAATTGATTTCCACACTAGATTGATGCTGGCCTGGGAGCAGACTACCTCTAGCAGATCTCAGTCACCCCACATCAGACATAAAGCTCTCCACTATTCTTTTCTGTCCTATTACTTAAGATTGTGAGTTCTGGAGGTTAGAGGGGAATATATACATAATTGCCACGGTGAAAGTGTTGAATTCACAACAAGAGGACAGCCACTACACCAATAAGTTGATACTATCTTTTGCATTTCAATCTGCATATGCAGATTCCCCACTACTGACTTGCCTTCCTTTTATGCCATTGCAGAACCCACCTCATGAATAATTAACAAAGCAGCTGGGTTTTGCCTTTATGGCAGAAAACTAGTTGGAAACTGAGCCAAGTATGCGTTTGTTCCCCTTTTGCATTTTCTGACCCAGTCATTGTTAATAACCAGCGTTTAATTGTTGTCAGTTTCCAGAAGCAGTTGCCCCTTTTTTCTCTCATTTTTTGCATCTTTTAGCTAGAGGTTCAGGTGGTAAATATTGTGGTAACATAAGTTTGAATGCCAGACTCCTGAACAAAAATTTCAGGAAGTGGAGTCCTTTACTTGGAAATGACCACTTCTCCTGTAGTTTGATCTTCTCCACCTTCTGGTCTCCCTGAGGAGCAGGGACTACATGTGTAGGAGTTACGCCTGGCTTGGAAGGGATGCTTCTCAAAGTCAAGAAAACCCAAACCATGGGTGACAGTTGGCCCCTCTCTGCTTAGTGTAATCAGAGATAGGCTGGGTACTTGGCCAAATGCTTTGTCTTTAAGAGAATTATAATAAGCTGCCTCCTTTCCCACTTCCTTTGAGTAGTTGTCACTGTTGATGTGTCAGGAGGAAGATGCATGTGCCTTTCCTCTGTACATACGTGCTCTTCTGGGGGCAGGGGTGGGGTTGGGAGGAGCGAGGAATTATCTGCACCTTCCTAGGCTGGAGTTTTGCTCCTTTCTACCTCCTTGATCCTAAGCTTCATCCATAAGATGTCCAAGAATAAATTTGCTCTTATGAAAAAGGACAAAATGTCCATGTAGGGTATTTTAAAGTAGATAGCCCTTAATTCATCTACCTTACAGCTGTGAAATAGGAATCAGCGACTACAGAGTGCTCACTCTAATTGGTGTAGCTTCATCCATCATCCCAAATAAATATCTACTTTTATTACTTCTCTACTTTCCACTTGGCTTGTCCCCACAGCCCCTATTCCTTCTACACATTCTTGACACTGCCAACATGAGCCACTTCCTGCCCCTTGGAAGGTCCTATAAACAGCTGCTGCTGCCTCTGAAATTCCTGCTTCTCTGAATCATCCAAACATGGGAGTCCATGCAAGTATGTGAGGACAACCAACTGTCGCTGTCCCCAGTGAGACAGGAGCCTTGAGGACAAGGAGATTTAGTAAAAATATGCAGTGTGAAATGCTGCCTGACCAGTCGTCGAGGGAGAGAACACTTCTGCCATTTCTTGGCAAACTCATTATCCCTGTAAAGCTGTTAGCTGGGCACCTGCGTCTCCTGGGACAGGGGCTCTCCAGTCATCAACTCTTAGGAGTGGTGGAGAGAAGAGGAGGAAGAGGGGTGTGTGGGGTGGAGGCCGGCGAGCTAATCTGCTTAAGCAGAAGAGTGGTGTGAACAAGGAGGTCTGGGCCAGCATTTGGGTAACTGAGATTTTAAAACTGCAAACTCTGGTTTGGCTTGGCTTGGCTTGGCTTGGCTTGGCATGGCATGGTTTCAGTCTGCTTTTTTAGACCAGAGTAAATGTTGGGGGTTGAGGAGAGAAAGGGAGGGAGAGAAGGCCTGAGTCTCCTGGGCCATGGTAGTTATGTGGTTTTCCTCTCTGAGGACTTAAATATGGAGCTCTGTGCCTAGAAGCCTGGTGTCAGAACCCTCCAGACAGCACAGACCATTTGAAATCTTAAAGATTTTCCTTGAAAAAGATAGTCCCCAGTTATTAAAAAAGAGAGTAAGCAGAGATTTAAGTGAGGGGTGCAGAGAAGTTGCCTTGGTTATTATTTCTCATCGATTGGGAAAAGGAGTTCACTTTGCTCAGTAAATAGAGCTTTGATGGATTCCCAGGATCCTTCCAGGAGCTGATCTGCTAAAATGACACTTTTTATTACTGTTCATAAACGCCAATCTCCAGGTGCTGCTGGGATATTATGTTTAAGCTGTGGGCAAACTTACCAGTCCAGTGGCTCAACAAGCAAGGGCGAGAGAGGCTGGTGTTTAGTGCCTGCTTCCATCAGCCGGTGCAGTGCTGGGCTCTGGCTTGGCTGGCAGAAGAGCAGGGCTGGGAAGTCAGTTAAGCAGGGATGGGGATGGGAGTGCTTTTCAGAACAATCCGTCCTGCCCTGTTGGAGTGAGAAAAGGGCAGACACTTGATTTTCATTGTTATGGCAAGATACTCAAGGGCAACCAGGTATGGGAAAATCTTTCCTCAAAGGAATGCCGAGTTAAGGTGTAGCAACAGATCTACCCTCCTGGGAAGCAGGTCTGGTGTTTCTCTGGCCAGTGCCAGCGTCTAGAACAGGGACCTTTTTCTTTAAAGTAGGAATGAAACTTTCATGATAGAATGTCTGATGAACATCTGTAAACTGTTGGCAATCCTCAAGGGAAGAACTGTTTTGTGGACTATTTTAGAAATTTAATAATTTTCTTTATCCTTTTTAAAATTCTGTTTTCATTTCCTTTTTTATGCATTCTTTGAATGTGTAAGAAGCACTGTATCGGTCAATCCTGGATACTTTAGAATGAATTTGGTTTTAAAATCCCATGAGTACACGAAGACCTGGGATCAGTGATTCCTCTGCATGGGGGAGCTGGAGATGGGGTGTGTGGTGGAGGTTATTATAGTAATATCATATAGTAATAATAAACATAATGGCAATCACAGTAAAGCCTTTTGAACCTTTTGAATTTTGTAACATTTGCATGTATTAACTATTCAAAAAATAAAATTTAATTAGGAAAAAATTTGTCTAATATAAAAGTCTAATGATTTCATTTTTCATGAGAAAATGATACCATACATTAATCCTGTCTTAGTTTCTTCATTCTCACTTTCATTTGTTTATACAGTGAACATTTATCAAATGCCCGCTGTGTGCCAGGTACTGTGCTAGGCCCCAAGACTATAATGAAAAAGAAAACGGGACCCCTGCTACACAGTAAAATCTGAAATTATATTGGGTTTATTCAAGTGATAATTGTGGCCTATAGGGGTTTTTTTTGAGGAATTAAGAAAAAATACACAAATATAGATTTCAAATGTGCATGTATGTTGTGCTGTCCTGGTTGTGTGTCCACCGTTGCCTGGCGAGATAAACTGCAGGACGCCATGAGGCTGGGCAGAAGTGGTGCTCTGAGACCCCATCCGGACAGCCTCCGTCTCCCTCATTTTTCTTTCAGCTCTGCAGTCCTTCATCCGAGCCTATGCAACCTACCCCCGGGAGCTGAAGCACATCTTCCATGTGCGCTCGCTTCACCTTGGGCATGTGGCTAAGAGCTTCGGGCTAAGAGATGCCCCCAAAAATCTTAGTGTCTCAGCTATAAAGAAGAGGAAAGCAAACCTGAAAAGGTAAGACTAGCTGAATTTGTCCTGTGACAAATGGCTGAAAGTCAGGTGGATGTAGAGAGCCCTGTTCAGATTAGCAGAGTAAGATGATACGGTAGGCTGCTGTGTGCTCAGTGCAAACTCTTCCAACTTTGGTTTTTCTGGTAAATTATCACCAGTTTCTGCCCTTCTCTCCATATAATAAGTGCTTAGAACAATGGGAAAAATATCCAATCTGAATGTTTTTAAGGCAGCTGCAGAAATTCAGTGGTGTCTTCTGTCGGGACCAGAGGTAGTGGGGATTATTGGGGCAGCAGACAAGCCTGTTGGGTTGTCTTCACTGCCCACCAGTAGAGTCACTTGGGATTTGCCACAGTTGGAGCTTCAGATGTGCCGTGGAAAGCTTCTGGGACTTGTACGAAGACTTCTGGTGTGTTCCATGAAATAAGCCCTGGTGACATACCCTGACCTGGTGAGATGGGAGGGGCTGCATGCAAGCCCCAGCTTTGCCGGCCAGGCTGGCTCCGAGGGCCTGGCTGGGATCTCCCAGCACTGCATGTTGCTCTCCTTGATGCTGACACACGTCTCTAGTGCTGAGCACTCGTAGAGGCAAGCGCAGTGGACTCCTCCCCTCCTCCTCTCACCCACCTCCCTCAAAAAGCATGTTCAGAACTGTCCAGAGGTCCTAGTGAGAGGAGAGTCAGAGCGAGCAGTGTTGTCCTGGGGGTTGGATGCTGGGCTCTGAGTCCATCTTCACAATTTCAGGAGGTCCTGAGATGATTTCCCTTAGCAAAATACATTTGTAAAAGGTCGTCTTTCTCTCCTCAAAGACAGGATGATCTTGTAGTACCAGACCCAGCCCCTCGCAGGAACTAGAGTATTTTGAATACCATGAGCTGCTTTTATAGGGAATTTTGGGATAGATTGACGTTACTGCTTATGCAACGTGTGGGTGGCAAGGATACGCTGAGCAGATGTTTGGGGGTACAAAGAACCCTTGAATGCTCTGGACAGTTACTTTGCATTGTAGATCCTTCTTTTTGCACATTGATTACAAATGTCAACATGTACTTGCCCTGTCTCAGAGAATCTGTAGGCAATACTCACGTTCCAGCACAATGTCCATCTTGTTCATTCACTGAGGGGTGTTGATTACATCATCAGCCTCGTCAGGGCCCAGTCTCTCTGGTGTGAAGTGACAAAGGGAGAAGGACCGCCCAGTGTAGGGAAATGACTATTGGTGTTGGAGTCAGGGAACTTGGACTTCACTGCCAGCTGCAGCCTAATGTGAGCTTTGGACCATATCTTTGCTTCACTTCTCAGAGCCACAGTTTCCTCAGCTACAAAAGAGAGAAGAAATCTACTTTTTTTAGCTACTTTGCGAGATTGTTTTGAGAATCAAAATTAGGTGATACATGTGAATATGCCTTTTGAACCATAAGGGGCCATACTGATGAAGTGCTTAGGACAGAGAGCTAGAAACCAGGTGAGTTAAGATTCCAGAACATTCAACTTGATCTGTCCAGGACTTGGCATCTACAGGGTTCTTTATAATGGATAAAATTTTACCTAGTTCTGATTCCAACTTTGGAATTTTTAAGATGCTTGGTTTTTCTATTGTATTGATACCTCTCGTATAGGACAGTACTCCAGTATGTGCGAGGCAGCTGTTTTTCCACATGCTGCTGTCGAAAAATGCCCGGATGAAACCAAGCCACGTCTAGCTCTGGTTTCTTCCAGGCAGTTTTGAGGTGCAGGGTGCTGCCTGCCTCCGCACATTACCTGTCCTGGGTGGGGCTGTAGCCAGAGACTTCTCTGCCTGCCCACTGCTAGAGCCGCGTCCTCCCAGAGGGAGGGGACACCTCAGATCTACTCCCAGGCGTGGTGGCTGTTCCAGGATTTGGGGCTGCCATGCTCCAGAGTTAGATTCTTGTCTTTGGATTTGGGGTAGCTAATATCTGTGCATGTTAACTTCGATTCTGAGCATGTGACAAAACTGTGAGTCTTGTAGTCAGGTGTGAGAGTGACCTCCTTGAATCTGGAAGGCTGACCATGCTGTCACCATCTCTAAAATGTTGACACTTTGAGAAGGTAAGAGTAGACTTACCAGATGGTTACTGATAAAAACGCATATTTTGTTGATTCCTCTCCCTGTAAATAAATGCAATCCCAATATTTTATTGTTAGCAGATGATCTACCTTTATGACTGGGAATTTCATTAGCAAGTGTTAATCCAGATAGCAGCTCTTCAGACTGGGTTGTCCTCAGCTCTTACCCAGATCCTGGAAAGCAGAGCGGCGGGGCAGGGAAGCAGTTGGGAGGGGGACTTGGAGCCAGCATTGTCCTTACCTTGAGAAGCCACTAGGGAGAGAGCAGGCCGCTGCCTCCTGCTTCAGCTGACCCTCGCCAGCAGATGGGCACCAGGACTACTATACCCCTGTGAGCAGGGGATTTAACAGGGCTTTATTTGGGGAAGAATGGGCTGATTAGCCGATAAAGAGCATGTAAGATGGTATGGGGCAGCCTTTGATGTCTGGCTGGCGCGGCAGGGAGCCGGGTGGTGAGTGACAGCAGTGTGTCACAGGATTACTCTGCCCGTGACAATGCCGCTCTCTGTTCTTGCCGTGTCACCACTCTGTTACAGCTACTTCTTCCGTTGTTATGCCCTTCTTTTGAAGGCATTTCTCCCCACTCTCCTTACGTCCTCCCACCCCACCCCTGCCTTGCTAACGCAGACGGGCACTCAAGGATACAGTAGGTACCTTTTTTTATTTGGACAAATCTTGTCGCTCCTGGAGGAAGAATGACTTTGCAGCTAATCTGCACATGGACCGTACATAATTGTGGTCAGGGTAAGTGGCAGAGAAAACTGGACAGATTTTCCACACCTCAGTCAGGGCTCAAGCAAATGCCAGTTGCTGCTTTTTGAGGACTGGAAAGAAAAGTCCATTAAACCCCACAAAGTGCGGAGAGTTATGCTGTGGCCACGATGATTGTTCGGGGCTGAGGCGTCTCCTCTGAAATCCATCTGTCAAGAAAGAGAATGGGTTCCTTATGTTTTGTATGGGTGGATAAAATAATAGCACCAAATTCTCTAAATTATTCTGCATTCCGTTTTATGGTGTTTACTGCCTAGAATAATTATATGTCATATGCAAACCTCTGATATCTGCAAACCAAATCCATCAGACCGTAAGCAAAATCCTGTCTCACCTGTCATGTGCCAAACACGGAGTTCAACCAGGTGTTGAAATGGGAAGCAAGGGCAGGTTAGGTTAGGAGACTATTAGGCTTTTCCATGCAAATGACAAGGGGAATTTTATCTTGTCTGTATGCGTTTATTCCTTTACCTGACCACTTTTCAGAAAAGGAAAATAAATAGTTAATGTCCCCAAATGAGAACTTAATCACCAGGTCTCTGTCTACTTTTTCAGGGCTCAGTCCTGAAAAGGAACACTAAAGGTCTTCCCCCTGCACACAAATACAGTCATAGGCACAAAAACTCTTCTGACACCTACACACAAACCTGTCAAAACAGCCCCCCACCCCAACACCTACATATACATGTACACAGAGAGTTGGTGCTATTGGTAAAATATTGAATGGCCCCTTAGCAACATCCGTCACGAACACAGCATTTTCCTCCAGTGAAATGCAGCTCTTATTTTGAAGCTGGTAGACTCAGCAGTTCCTGAGAAGCAAAGGTAACATACCTTCCAAAATTTCCGTCTTCTCGGGAGATACTGAGACTCAGCAGTGTCTGCTATGAAAGGGCAGAGTTGTATTATTTGCCAGGTGTCTGTCTGTCTAGGCCGTCACACATATGAGGAGAACGTGTCCAGGAACAGTGAGCAAGCATGCCGAGGGGGGCTGTGATTCCTCATCTCTCTGACACTCTGTGAAGAAGAATGGCCCAAGAATATAGAAACTAATGTGCCTTAAAGTCTTGGTGTAATTCTGACAATGTGACAGACAATATGAACTACCCTATCTCATGTGAATTATGTGCAATAATTATAAAAAGCACTACTTTTCCCCAAACAATTTAGTTTGTAGCTACCTAAGACTGGTCTTACCCTGGCTTCTGCCATCTGTGCCTTTCTGATGTTGTTCTTAGTGCCTAGAAACATCTGGGACATCTTTATCAGTAATTCAGTAATTTTGCTCCCCTGTCCTCAGCTCCATTCTTTTAAAATTAGTAGATCAACAATCTGAATTGTTGACTATTCTGAAAAGAAATACAGTTTTATTTTATTTGTATAAATTTTCTCAAACCAGCCTAGCTAAAGTGTTACCTGGTAGTTCCTGATTTTATCAAGCAGGTAAATAATCTGAAATTAGGGATCTCTTATCCCTTACTACTCACTGGATCTGAGTGTGCTCAGCAGGCGGGATCAGTAATAAAAGGGCATGTGAGGCTGGCTCCCCTGGCTCTGGCCTCCCATCGGAACCACCACACCCTCAGGCACCACGGAGCATTTCTTTAACCTCTGTTGCTTCCAAAGTTCTAGATAGAGCATATTCTCTAAAATAAGTACACATCCTTGTGGAGATCATACTTGCTTTTCTCATCTGAATTATCACAAATGCTTTGTCACTAACATTCAAATTAGAGACTTTGCAAAGCTCCGTTTTTTGGACATTTTTCATCTTTGAAGGCCTTTGCTATGTCACTCTCTGATTCTCACTCTCACTCATTCAATAATTGTTAAATAACAAATAGGAGTTGCTATGTTGAATGGTCCTCTAGTTTGAGAAGATTACACCCCCACTAGCCGTCTCCCTTGCCTCTCCCTTTGTTTCTTAAACACCAACTATGGGGAATGGCGCATGGTGGTTAAGAGTCTGAGTTTAAGGGGCCAGCTCAGTGGCGTGGTTGTTAAGTTCATGTGCTCTGCTTTGGTGGCCCGGGGTTCATGGGTTTGGATCCCAGGTGTGGACCTACACACCGCTCAAGCCATGCTGTGGCGGTGTCCCATATACAAAATAGAGGAAGATTGGCACAGATGTTAGCTCAGGAACC